CTTGTGCTGTTGATGGGCACCACTGAAAAGAGTCTGGCACCATCCTATTGACACCATCCTATAAATATCTCAAATATGCCTTTGAGATATTTCTACACATCAATGAGATCTCCTCTCAGTCTTCTCTAGACTAAACAGGCCCAGGTTCTGTAGTCTCTCCTCATTAGAGGTGTTATGAATGAGGTCCCTATATGTCTAGAATTTGGCAGCAATTTTAATTGAGCAGCAATTTTATATAAAATAATGCAATCAAATATAATCAAGCAGGTTCAAAATAATTTGGCAGTGGTTCAGATAAAGCATAAGCAAAACCAATCTATCGGGGTATGGCGAGGGCTTCCCACCCTGCCTCACATACAAAAGGCAAAAGGATCCAAACACAACTTATATACTGTATGCTAATACATATTCACCAATATTTTCCCGTAAATCTCCTATTTTTGAAATCTATGCCACTATACTGCATAGCGCATGCTCCGCTTGTTCCTAAGGGGCCTTCATTTGACAATGAAGGCTTCTCATAATTGTCACTGTCCTTTGAACAACCTCATATGTGCCCCAAGTCTTGTGCTATGGAAGCCAGCATTATATTCCAAAAATAAGCCTTAATGTTTTATAGATACCTGGAATAATTTCAATTTTGTCCATTTCAAGGTCGACTCTCTAATTATCCTGAGGCCCATTCTGTTTTGGGATGTTATTTGTCTCAAACTACATCCTGCATCCTATTTTGTCATGAACATCGGAAAACATCTGTTTTGTGACACTAATTACACTTTTCCTCTATTACTTTTTAACGAATATTTTCTAAAATACTGATATAGTTACAATTGTTAGCATGAATCACATTCATTTATCAGAGATGCTCCAGTCCCATCATCTTTGCTCCTGTTCACTGGACACTCTCTGGTACTCCTTGTCTTTTTTGTACTGAGGAGCCCAGAACTGGACACTGTACTCCAGATGTGGCCTCACTAGGGTCAAGTAGAGGGAGAGGATCAACCTCTCTTGACCTGCTGGCCATATTCTACCTGTTCTCTTAGAAGCATTTTTTGTCCTTCTACACATAAAGTTGGCTTGGGCTGTCTTTATTTTGATTCTTTCATCCCAGGTTATAAAGACTGATGCTTTTAATTTTGGATTCACAAGTTCCTGCTTCTGGTCAAATTTCAATGGCCATACTTGGTATATTGAATGTTGCTCTGCTGCATGGGCGGTGTGTGTCACAGCAACACTCACAGGCAGCAGTGCCCAGGCTGTGTTCCACATGGGCATTGGGGAGGCTCGAGGCTGTACACAAAGTGAATGGCTGCTTTGGATGCGTCCTAAGTTCAGTTTGGAGACAGTGGAGAGATCTCAAGCTAGTTTAGGTACCTGAATAGGAGAATTCTACAATGCTCAACTCATTCTTCTGAGACCTGTTGCTCTGAGAAACAGAGTAAATGAAATTGTGTCATGCTGCACAGCTGAGTCTAATGTAATTCCAGGACTCAAGCTGTTTGTATGCCTTCAAACTACACAGCAGCTACAATGTAGTCATACTGCCCTCATTGTACCTGGGGTAGAATGCTGACAACATAAAAAATCACACAAGTCTTTGCAAAAACAAGTATTTTATGAAAGTTATCACAGTCACTGGCAGCTTCATCGGTACTTCAACTTCTGTCCTCTGATCAGCCTTCGTGTTTCTTGAAGTTACCTGATTAAAATGGTCAGTAACAGACAGATGAGCTATGTCAGGGCACGCTGGGCATTAAGAAGAAAGAGTCGACCCTTTCCAGTTAAAAATTAAGAAAGCAGATGTAATCTTTTCCACCTCTGACTGATCCAGAATGCCATTATCACCCACGAATGCTGCTTAGCCTTTCTAAGTTTTGTTCCCTCTAAATACAAATCCAGTTCCCTATGCTCTTGAGCCTCAGGTTGGGTAAGGCACACAGCTTTTCATGGACTCGGAATGTGTAACATATACACAGGCTTGTTCATCTTATCAATAAAATTGCACAGCAAATGCAGCAGGAAAAAAATCTCAATTCAGGAAAGTACATAGTTGGTACTATATACACTTTATTAATAGGAATGCTCTCCAATTTGTATGCAAGTACCTGTTTCCTAATTCCTGAAGTAGATTACTCCAGAGTCCTTTGACTGTTTAACATGATTAAGCTTTTAAATGGTGTGCAATTTTACAGAAAACTCTATTGTTAATTTGCTACTTAAAATACTTTATAAGATTAAGAACTGAGTTTTTAAATTATAATTCAGTATTCTTTGAAAAAATAATATGAGCTCAGAGCTCTATCACAGCAGGTCATGATGTGTATTCCAGAGCTGTCATATAAGGTGTAGCAAGTATTCTGGAGAAGCTACTGCTCAGAGCTGTGGACAGGGGGCTGCAAGGAAAATAAAAATTACTGGATTCTAAAGCATAACAGCAAAAAGAATTTTCATTGAGATTTAGTTTTGCACTTGGAAATTGTAGCTATACAGAAAAACATACAAATATTTGCACATTCCAATACTTAACATAAAGAAAAATAAAAAATCTGGATCTTGAAGGTTGGAAAGAGCTGCTTTGATCCTGTGTCACAGTGGGGTTTGAATTGTAATATCTATAATGCACTTGTATTCTATGCTGTTACAAGATATTTTACCTCCTGTGATATTGAAGATGGAGGGAGAAGACCCACCTTTCATTGATCAGCATCAACTCCGGTTTATTCATCAATCCATCACTTTTTATAACAGTGTTAATTCACTTCATGCATATTGCAAACCCGAGCTCACAATAGGTCAGAGATAACAAACCAACTCCTCCTTATGTTTCCAATACCAAGATTTGGGTTCTCAAAATTATTTTTGCTTTCCCAAAACAGCCAAAGATAGAATATCTACTTGTTATGAGAAAGCTGCCTGAGAACTCTGATATGCAAGGTTCTCAAGGCCTTCATGTTTGTCACTTTTACTTGTAATTAAAAACAACCTGAGAACCTCTGCTGTTTACAGAAACAGGCTGTGAGAACCTGTCCCCCACAGCTGCCTTCCAAGCCATTTCTGAAAAAATCTCCAACACTGTGACAGTGGTCACAGGGGTTCTTGGATGAGGGAAGAGACGAGAATGTTGACTCCATGTTCAGAAGGCTTGATTTATTATTTTATGATATATATATTGCATTATTACTATACTAAAGATTGGAAGGAAAAGCTTCATCTCAGAATAGAAAGGAATAGGAATGAATAGAAAGGAATAGGAATGAATAGAAAGAATAGAAAGGAAAGGAATGAATAACAAGGGTCTGTGTCTCAGACAGAGTCCAAGCTAACTGGGCTGTGGTTGGCCATTAATCGCAAACATCCAAGATGGGCCAATCACAGATGCACCTGTTGCATTCCACAGCAGGAGATAACCATTGTTTATAATTTGTTTCTGAAAGCTCTCAGCTTCTCAGCAGGAAAAAATCCTAAGAAAAGGATTTTCATAAAAAGATGTCTGTGACAACCTCCCAGTGATTTTTACTCAGTGCAGATCAAGATAGGGAGTGAGGATGGTGAATTACTGGGCTAGAATTGTTTTTAATAGAAATGGAAAGGAGCAGCGATGTCATTGCACCACATTTCAAGGTTTCTTTTCTCTTGAGCTGGAATCAAGATGATGGGACAAAAATTTGCCTAAACTGCTCTTTATGAAGTAATGGAGGATGATACATTATATATGTTTTAGTTATATTTTATCATGTGATTTAATCTCAAACAAAAAATTGTTTCAATTAATTGAAACAGTAAAGAAAGTAGAAACAACTAAAACTAATTATAAAAAACATGAAACAAAAAAAAACCAAAACAAAATCACCAACAATGCAATGAAATGAGCAGTTATAAATGGGGAATTTTAAGACAAAGAGGGCAGAAGCTCTAGAAAAAAAATCTCTTGATCTGTAGCTTTTTGCTTCCTTCAGTCCTAAAGAAGGGTAAAATTTAGTCTTAGTGTGTGCTGTCATGAACAAAGACACATGATGATCAGAGATTACCAAAAACATGTTTGAAATCTTAGTTTGTGTCTCGGTGGTGTGGATATGATGCTACTTTCTTACTTCAGTCCACACTCTTCCCGCAAACTATTGCCCAAAGCACTAGAGTAATGGCCTCAAATAGCCCTTTCTGTAGGCATAAGGAAAAAAAAAGCAAAGCCTACTTGTTCAGGAAATGGAGCTGGTCTTAGACCTTTTTTCGGCTGTATCTGTGCTAGTAAATTAAATATGCTCAGGGATGTTTGCTTGACAATAAAACCACCAATAAGCACAGAACTTCTGTCCAGAACACAGAATTTATGCGCAGACTTGCACATATCTCTGCAGCCAAAACCTCTGCTTCTGTCAGAGACCAGCTATTGTAGGTGGACAGTTGAACTCAGTAACCTGAAGGGTAATGAAGAGGAAGGCTGCTGGTCATGAAACACATAGGAACCGAACCATCCTAATAGTTTGATGTCAAGGATGGCCATGTCACAACAGTGTTCAACCTATTGGAAAAGAAATATAAAAATACAAAGCACCATCTCTCACAATCTATATTCTTTGAGCTTTTGGAGGGGAGGATGAAAGGAACCCCGTCTGTGTATTAGGCATATGGCTTACTACTCCTAATCACATTTCTTGCTGCGCAGATGCCATCAATTTGAGGCTTTTATTTCAACAAAGAGTGGATGTGCAGAAAAAGTTTAAAATCTCCTAGTCGTTTGTAATGGCTTAACTCAGTTGTCATCTAAATACTGTGCAACTGCCTGCTCATTTTCCCCAGGTAGAGAGAAAAGTCAGGGAAAAAAAGTAAACTTGTAGCTGGAGATAAGCACAGTTTAGTAATTGAAACAAAATATAATAATACAAATTATAATGATAGCAATAATCATCAACGTTATCAACAACAATAATAATGAAACAGAGATAGGAATAAAACCCCAGAAAGGCAAGAGATGCTTAAATGGAGTTGCTTTTTACCCACTGACAGAAGTCCAGCCTGTCATCCTGCAGCAGCAATCAGTATCTCCCAGCCAGCTCCCCCAGCTCCATCCTGGCCATGCTGCTCTGTGTATGGCACATCCCTTTGGCCAGGTCGGGTCAGCTCTCCTGGCCTTGCTCCCCCAGCCTCTGGGGCACCTGAGCAATGCAGAGCACAGGACACTGAAATGTCCTTGGCTATGGAAAGTATTTAGTAATAACAATTAAAAAAGTTAAAATAGCAAAAAATAACAATAAGCAATTTAATTTTAGTAATGAGCAAAGCACCTTACTTTTGGTGAAGCTTACAAAAACGAAAAGATTTATAGCGAGATGTTTTATCTAGACTTACAGATATATGACTTACACATGTAAATAATTATAGCACTGTTAATTGCACAAGAGATGTGCACAAGAGGTGATATAATGTGCATACTTCGGTTTAGGAGATTTTTACAGAGGTCATCTAAGGAAGGCTTCCTAACAGGGATCTACCTGAGGCTGCAACCTTCAGCCCTCCTTAGATTTTAACACTTCTGGGATGGATAACCCTAGTGTGAAGGAAATGAGCCCTATGCTCTGTTAAAGGCACAGCGTTCCCAGGAAGGTCTTCTTGCTTAGAGAAAGCATCTTTCTGATCGCCTTTATGCTGAAATGGGTCTGCCCTTGCAATATAACTGAATACAGCTGTTTCTCAACTATGCAAAGAAAAACAGACAATCAAGTATCTCCTCTGTATGCCCTACTGTTGGTCAAGGAGGAAGTTTTTAATGAAAAGGTAGGTATGCCATTCAACTATAAACAATTGACAGCCTAGTAAGAAACAGTTTGTCCTTGGTATTGACATTGCTAGTTTTGATTTTATAACACTGGCAGATGCGTCACACATTATGAAGGAAAAAACCTATTGTGTTTTCCAGTGTCTCTCAAAGTATTTTAAATGCATACACAATAGCCATTAAAATTCAAAACAATATTTTCAAGAAACTTGTCTTTACTTATTAAAGATATGCTATTAGCCTTTCTGGCAACATTGCTATAGTGTAGTAAGATATCTTTGTTTTGGGAGAATAGGGGGGGAAGTATTTCCTAAAGAGGAGGCTTGGTACTTGTGTTTTGAGGGTATTTTGCCTATTTCTTTTAAGCCAATTTGTAATAATTACAGAATCCCAGAATCCTTTATGCTGGAAAAAAACCTCTGAGATCATAGGATAGAACCTTTGATCACCACCTTGACAATTAGACCAAGGTTCTATTCCAGTAATTTCCTGAACACCCCCCAACTTGGTGTTGCTCAGGCAGGACCTGCCTTTTCTAGACCCATGCTGGCTGGGCCTGATCCCTTGGCTGTCCTGTGTGTGCTGTATGATGACACTTTAGATGATCACCTCTGTGACGTTGCTGGGCCCCAAGGTCAGGCTGAGAGGCCTTTAGTTCCCTGGATCCTCCTTCTGGCCCTTCTTATGAACCTCCCCAGTTAGCCAGGATTGATGATAAGTGATGGAGGATGGCTTAGCAACCTCTTCTGCCAGCTCCCTCAGTACCCTAAATGTACATGTTCACAGCAAGTATCATCACTGTCTTTCAAAGAGTTCACAAAGATACACATGCTTTCCAAAAACTTTATACTGTGCACATTGATGGGCAAAAGTTGTAGAAAATCCTTACAAAAACAGTTTTCTTCACTCCACTTGGATATGCAGTTTCTAAATTAATCTAGTAATTAAAAAATTGGCACAAGGTGTTGCCAATACAGATTTTGTAAAGAACAAAGGGCTAAAGCAAATAAAATTTGCTATGAAATGAAACGGCATTAAACTGAGATCTGCTTATATTTAGGAATGTGCAAGGTCCTGATATCATGCCAGTTATCTAGTCTCTTTATTTCAAATTTAATATGCTCTATGTTCACAAGTTAGCAAGGCTAATTTTAGGAAAAACACAAAAATTTCACTTTATAGAGAAAAGAGTAGGGTAGAGAGAAGCATTCAATTAGTCACTTGGTATTGAATGTTTAGTTCATAATTCCTTCAACATAATTCCTTCTTTATCTAAACACTTTCTTGTCATTAACAGTTACTATTTTCAGGGTTCTTTTAAAATTTAGAACAGTGAATATTCACTTGATGTTACTTCATAGGTGGCAGAAGTTGGGTACATTTAGAATTCAGATGTGTAATATTGTGGAGAAGATGTATACCATGACTTTGTCCTTCAACAGAAGAAATGTAATGTAGGCAATGTGTCACCTGGGACATGTTTGAAGAACAGTTGCACCCTCTTAAACCTCTATTTATTATCTCTCATAATGAGGAATGAATACTACTTAATGGAGATAAACCATTCAATTGGCTTCAAATAGCCCTTAGCTTCATACTGCCCAGTGTTTATGGAATGTGTTATTGGAGATGGGTGCTTTTACTGTTGAAGAGGAAAAAAACTACTAGTCAGACTATTTTCAATTACAATATGTATGAAAAACTTGAAAGAGCGAAGCTGCTGTTTTAAAAGCCTGGTTCTAAAAGAGTTTCTATCTCTAATTACCATAAAGAAAAGCATGGCCTCCCCGTTTTCATCCTGGCTTTTCACTAGTGTCACCAAGATACTGATTATTATTGAGATAGGAACAGACATGTTGAGAGAGGTAAAATGATAAATTTATTTCAATAATATAGGTCTCATTTATATAATTCAAAATTAATACTAAGGTATTACTTCAAAATATGGACTGTTAACTACAGCTTTATTGAAGTCTTTGCCCAAAATTCTGCTCCTGTCAAAGTCAGTGGTAATTTTAATATAAAAGTTCTTCAGAAATTAGGGACTTGATAAGCACTTATGTTTTAATTTCCAGACCTGTCTTGTACTTGCTTATTATATTAAATGCATTGGATGCAGAGATGTTCAGAACTCTTGCAAAATCAAATAACTAGAGGGTATACATAATATAATGCAAATAATAACAGCCAATTATTTAATACAGTCAAATCCTATTGTCTTATTTATGTAGACAGAGCCACTGAAATCTGGAATTGGTAAAGTCACCTTACATTTCCTATCTTGAAGTTGTAATACATAAAAATAGACAAGCCCTAGTGTTCATCATGTTATTGCAAATGAAAATGACTAGATGTTGTTGTGCACTTTTTTATACTACTTCCATTCTTTTAATTTTGCTTCTTAAAAGATAAGTGAACATGCAGCTGAAAGATATTTAACACTTTGCAGTAAGGATGCTTCATTAGAACTGTTTCTATTGAGGAACTCTCACTGTGTTTAGGAACTAATTATACAAATAATCATTTGCTGAGAGAAACATACATTAGAATTGGGGGTTTTATTATTAACATTAGGTGACCATTTGCTTTCTAAGTTTTAAATATTCGGCTCCCTGCATCAGAAGCTTTCTGGATCAAATCTGTATAAATCAGATTTCAGCCTCTTACATAGAAATTTTTATTTTGCCTTTCTGTCTGATCTTTTGGTTTGGATTGGTTGTATATTGGGCACACTGGATTTTTAAGAAAAGGTGAAGTGCTTTATATGTCTTCTGGAGTGACACAGGAATGTGTAATAGCAGGAAATTAATTATGTTTCTATACTTTTCCATAGTATTTCCTCAATTAACAATCTGAGTGTGTACTCTACTCATGTAAGTATCTTATATTCCACTACTATAAATGAAAGCACATTTCAAGTGCCTGCCAAAATACATTTTTTGGTCTCGTACTTCATCTCATTTGGTGAGGAAATGGGGTGTCTTTGTACAGTAGAGAGTGTTTCAACTGTTAGAGCTCAAGGATAGTGATGTCGTAAGTTTGAGTCCCCATGAGTAGGAATCAAGGGGATGGCCAACAAGGCAGATATCCTGGTGGTAGCCTGTTCAAGACCACCTAACCAGATCCTGGCCCTTGTTATTGTGGGAGACTTTTGTGGGATCTCTGCTGGAAACTCAGCACAGCAGAGAAGAGGCATTCTAGGAGGTTCCTGGACCATGTGGAACCCAATTTCCTCATAGAGATGGTGTGAGGGAAGACCTCACTTGACCCGCTGTTTGTGAATAGGACTGGGGGTGATGTGGTGGTCAGAGGCTGTCTTGGGGATAGTGACCACAAAATGGCAGCTTTCAATCCCTGGTGAAGGAAGAGAGGGCATCAGCTAAACTTCTGCCTTGGCCTACCAGAGGGCAGACTTTGGCCATTTCAGGACAATGGTTCAGAGAGTCCCTTGGGAAACAATCCTCAATAACAAAGGGATCCAATAAGGCTGAACATACTTTAAGAAGGAAATCTTAAAGCCTCAAGGGCAGCTCATCCCTATTTGCCAAAGGATGAGCTGGAGGGGGCAGGGAGAAAGAAGACTGGCCTGGCTGTATAGGGGGCTTTTCCTGGAACTCAAGCTAAAAAGGAGATTTTATGACCTTTGGAAGAAGGCAACTCAGGAGTGTACAAGGAAGAAGTGTACAAGTGTATTAGGTCATGTAGGCTGAAAGTTAGAAAGGCAAAAGCTGAGCTAGAACTCAATCTGGCCACTCCTGTGCAAGATAATTAAAGGGTTCTTATAAAAAAATAACAGCAGAAGGAGGACCAAGGAAAATTTCCATACCTTATTGGACGCAGAAGGAAACATTGTACCTAAAGATGAGAAAAAAGATGAGGTAATTAATGCCTGCTTTGGGTCAACCTTTAACAAGAAGACAGCTGTTATCAAGGCCCTCTGAGCTGGTAGACAAGGACAAGGAGCAGAAGTGAGCCTCTCTCTAGGAGAATTCAGTTAGTGACCTACTGAGCTGCTTAGACATCAAAAGTGTAGAGGGCCAGATGGAATCCACCCAAGGATACTGAGGAGCCAGTGGAAAAGCTCACTCTCCCTCATTTACCAATGGACCTGGCTAACCTGGGAGGCCCCAGGTGACTTGAGTGGAGATTGGCCAATGTGACACCTATCTACAAGAAGGCTTGCAGGGAGGTTCTGGGGAGCTACAGGCCTGACGTTAGTGCCTGGGAAGGTTATGGGACAGATCATCTTGAGCGCTACCGTGCAATCAAATGGCATGTGCAGGGCAGCCAAGGGATCAGGCCCACCCAGTGTGGTGGGAAAAAGTAGATCCTGCTCGGCCAACTTGATCTCCTTCTATGAACAGGTGACTTGCTTGGCGGATGAAGAAAAGGCTGTGAATGTTGTCTACTTAGACTTTAGTAAGCCTTTGATACTGTCTCCAATGCCATTCTCCTGGAAAAGCTGGCAGCCCATGGCTCGGACAAGTGCTTTGTTCACTGGGTAAAACCTGCCTGGATGGCTGGCCCAGAGAGTGATGGTGAGTGGAGTTACATCCAGCTGGTGGCCGCTCATCAGCAGGGCTCCCCAGGGCTCAGCACTGGGGGCATTTCTGTTTGATATCTTTATCAATGATCTGGATGAGGGGATTGAGTGTGTATCCTCAGTGTTGCAGACAACACCAAGTTGGGTGTGAGTGTTGGTCTGCTGGAGGGCAGGAAGGGAGGGAACTGGACAGGCTGCATTGATGGACTGAGGCCAGTGGTGTGAGGTTCACCAAAACCTGGGTTGTTGGTTCATAGCTGGGCCAGGGGGCAGAGCACTGCCCTGCCTTTCCTGCTCACGGCTTCAGGTTTGGCATCAGGCTGTGCTAATAACTTTGCAGCACAGGCAAACAGGACAAACAACTTCAAGGATGAAGAGAAAGGAGGTTTCACTGCACTCAAAACTGTGATGAATCTTGAATTCTTGAACCTAGAAAAACACTGCTGGTGTTAGAAATTGGAACTGGGCTTTAAATATTTAGAGTCGAGCTGAAGATTAATGTTTCAGAGCTTCTGAATTGTTTCAGAGCTTCTGTCAGTTTAAATATGAAATTATTATGTCTTTTTTCTACTTTATGTTCTCAGTTGTTGATTTTTAGTTTCTAGTAATTGTTGCTTAGTTCGTTTGCTGTTAGTCTGGTAATTGTTTAGTCAAGTTTCTGGTAATTGTTGCTTTATAGTGATTTTTATCAAGTTACGAAAACTAATTTACATTGACCACATACATGCCGTAAAATGCATTTAAAAGAGAATCCTACAGTTTGAGATAATTTTTGTCAAAAGTGAGTGCATAATCTCAGTTTCTACAATAACTTAAAACTTGTGGAGGAAACTTTCAAAGAAAACCCACAACCAAATGCAGGTGCCACAAACGCTGAGCGTTCTTTCTAATTATATCAAAATATTAAATTTTGTAAATTTACTTTTTTACCTAGGTTATTGAAAAAACAATTTTGATTGCGTTGGTAAAAGGATTTCAAAATTGCAAAACGGTGATTTAGGCCTTTAGATCCCAGGCAGTAAGAATCCTCCCATCACTTTTCTCTCAAAACTGCACACTTGGAATAACCATGCGAACCTCCAGGGTACTTCACTCGTGCGCTGGAACACCGAAGCGTCGATTTAGCGAAGATTCTGATATTTTGTTTTATTAATCCGTGGTTATTGGTTTTTACCGGCCTCAGGCTCCTCTGGCACCGCGATTAAGCCGCGCTGCGGGTGCGGGCGGCACCCGGCGCTGCGGAGCCCGCTCTGTCCGCGGCAGCGGGCACGGGAAGGGACCTGAGCTGCCCGGGGCCCGCGGCCCTCGCCTCCTCCCGGCGGGGATCTCTCCGGCACACACCGGGCTGATCCAGGGCCGCGCTGGGTGAACGCGGCCTACGGGCCTCCAGCCGGGGTCCCGCGGCACCCGCCCCGGCCGGCCCAGCTCTCAGCTCTCGGCCTCAGCGGCTCGTTGCACATGCGCAGGCGAGGCCGCGGCACGGTTAGTGACGGCGGCGCCGAGGACTCCCGCCGCGAGGGCGGGGCGCGCTCTGGGATTTCCCCGTCCCGCGCGAAACCTTCGGGATAGTTCCCGTGACGTCACGGCGGGGGCGGTACCGGGAGCACCGCCCGCTCCTCCCCAGGCTCCCGCGCGGGGGCTCTCGCGGAGGTTGCGCGTGCGCGTAGGGAGCACTGCGGCGCGGAACGGCGCCATTTTGAGGGAACGAGGCGAGCGCGCGGTGTGCGCGCGCGTGTGGTGGGGCGAGGGGGGCACTCGGAACAGCCCGGGACAGCCCCGGGAACGGGCGCGGAGCGGACTCAGGGCAGCCGGGCCGCCACGCTCCTTGCCCCGCCGTGCTGCCCGGACCGCCCTCGGGGGCGGCACGGGGAGCCGTCCCCGGCGGCGGAGGCGGGGCTGTCGCCAGGACGGCCGAGGACGGGTGCTCGGCGGAGCCGCAGCGAGAGGTCGCGGACCCCGAGAGCCGGGGCTCCGTGTGCCCGCCCGCCCCGAGAGCTGGGGTTCTGTGTGCCCGTACACTCCGGAGCGGGCGGCCTGTGTCCGCATACCCGGCAGCGGTGTCTGTCTGTCCCCACAGCCCGGGAAAGGAAGCATGGCCCGGGCCGCGCTGGGGTTCCCCCGGCGGCTCCCGCTGCCCCTCCGGCGGCTCCCGCTGGCCCAGGTCAGCGCTTCCCGCCCGGATGCCTTCTGTACATCTGTTCAGCTTCGCCAATAAAACGAGACATGACCCTTTCTTTCTTTGCCTCTTTTCCCCCCACTCTCTCCTCCCAGCCCCCACTGCCCGTGGCTCCAGGCCCCGGCCTGTTTTCCTGCCGCGGCCGAGCGGCAGGAGGAGGTTTCCGCTGATAGGCTGCGCCCCCCGTCAAACACCGCCGCCGCCCTCTGTGGCTGCGAGTGGAGGTGTAACCCAGGCTTCCGCTCGCGGGCTCGGCTCCGCGGCTGCGTCCGTGTGTGCTCTTTGCGATCCAGGTTCCTGTTTGCTTCTGGTTTTAAGATTCAGGCGTTTGGGTTTTGTTTGTTTCGTGTTTGTCTAACGCCAGTCCGGATTTCATAGGGGAGAACTGATTTTTCTGGTTCTTTTTACCTGAGGTTGCTTGAACGATAGAGTCAGTCCTTGATGTTTGTAGCCTTTTGCTTCAGCTGGCAGAGAAGAGAAAAGGTGGATACTGACCTGCAGCAGTTCTTCCTGTGAAAGGAAGAAATATCGGACACTGTTCTGGGATAACTTGCGCGTGCTTTGTCCAGAAAAGGCCTCTCAAACAAGCAGTGGGCATCTGGGAAGAGAACTGAGGAAATCGTGAGGTTTTTTCTTCTAGCAGTGTTGAGCACATCACCCTCGGATTCTTTTGTCCGCATGGCATGGATACATAGCTAAATTTATGAAGTTCTGAATACTTCAGCTGCAAAAATAAAGTGCTTTCCTCTTTCTACGTACTCTTTTTCTTCTCGGCAACATTCAGAGTCAAAGGCTTAACCAGTTTTGTTAACTGGCTGCAGGTTAAATGTGGCCTGAGTCACTGTGGGGACATTGCTGAAAAGTTTCATGGCAGATTTTTTTTCCCCCCTTATTTCATTTTTTAGATTTTCTGACATAGTCTTCTTTCATTTTGCAGTGAGACCGATTTTATAAATGAAGAATTTAATAGGTGCTTGTTTATACTTTTTTCTTTTGTATTTTATTTAATATTTTTCTTGAAAAATGTTGTTGCTCACAAGCAGTATGGAGGTATCCTGATAACTGTTTACAAATGCCTCTGCTACCGGAAGGTAGGAAATGTTCTTCAGTTCATATGTGAAATTTGGGTTTTTGACATCACAGTCTGTGGAGTAAAAACTGTATTTCACTTGGAGCTGATGCTGCATATAATGGTATCTACATGCAATAGACAAGAGAAGAAGCTGTCAGAGAAAAGAAAAGGCCTTTAAGACAGACCTTGGCAGAGTTTGTAAATAGCCTTGCAGAATCTGTAAACGAGAAGGATGGGTAGCTGATTTCTGTGAGGTCAAATCTATGTCAAACTGCCACGAATATAGTATCAACAGGAACTCGGGATATTATCTCAAGGAAAACAAACTGGAAAAATATAAATCACGCAGTACTAGCGCCTTGTGCCTTGTGTGGTCCTCTTGGATTAGGTAAGTGTTGTAGTGTTTATAATTCAGGTTTCACTTGAAAAAACATTTTATCGGTAGAACAGTTAAACCTGTAATTTTTACTGGTTAGAGGTTCTTTGGTGGTAATTTTTTGTTTTGTTTTTTGAGAATGTTGAATGTTGAGGCTTGTTAATTTTTACTTGCTGGCTTTTATAATGGAATAATTCCTTAAGACTTTGAAGAATACAGCTACAAGAAGAAACGTGTACATAAGAGTGTGATTTTTATGTGAGATTAAAAAGTAGCTATATCTAGACTAAATCCATAAGGAATTTTGCCTTTATGTTAATGTTGTAGTCTCAAGAGTAAATGTATCTTTTTGACCAAGTTATCTGGATAGCTTGCATGTGCCATTCCTTCCATTTGTGTTAGATGTGTTTGCAGCATCAGGCTAGTAATAATATAGAGAGATTTTCACTCTTTTTTTTCCTTTCCACTATTCTTTGTCACATATGAAAGCCAGAGGTTTTTTTTTTTACCAAAATTTTTTTTACTGGCTATGCAGTCTAGCTTTTATCTGTGTTGATATTGTAAGATTGGCTTCAGTGTTTTTTCCTGTTCTGTAATGGCAATTGAAATAAACAGGGCCAGGAGACTTCTTCTCCTTTTCAATGCCTTTATTAAAAGTGATCAGCTCAGGATTGGGCGTCCCGGCAGGGCTGCAGTCCCCGTCGTGTCTCCCAGGGCGACTCAGAGGAGGAGGATATGCGCAGCTCTGTCCACTAGGGGCAGAGCCGGGGGAT